CTGATCTATTATGTCTGTGCTAGTTCATATATCTGTGTTGTACCTCGAGTCTGTGCTAATTCACTGTGCTGATCAATTATGTCTGTGCTAGTTCACATATCTGTGTTGTACCTTCAATCTGTGCTAATTCACTGTGCTGATCTATTATGTCTGTGCTGTTCCATGTGTAAGTGTGATGACCATTCTGTACTGCGGTGATGTATGCGAAAAGGGTCGAGAAGTGTGTGTTTTAAACTCTGTCACTGCACCTCTGATTTACTCTGATGTATGAGAAGCGAGGCTGGGTTCGGGAGTTCGATTCCCCGATTGAGAAAAGTTTTTAAAGAGTTGTGACAGGCAAGCAGTGGTTGTTCTGGGTGTGTTCTGGGTATGTACTAAACTCTGTGTATTATGGCACTGCAGTCCCCCGCATGGGACCATGGTTTTCCTTTGATAGCTGAGAGTGTCTGCGATGTTTTAGATTTATGGGTTCGGGTTTAGAGTTTAAGGGTGTATATCATGGCGTATGTAGTATGCTTTAAACGATCCAGAGGACACACCAAAGCACAACGGACGTACATTTACACACCATTGCATGTATGTATGTATGTATGTATGTAGGTATGTATGTATGTATGTATATACGTATGTATATTTATGTATGTACGTATGCGTTTATTTATGTACATATATGGATGTATGTATGTATGTATGTATGCGTATATGTATATATGTAGGTAGGTATAGATGCTACCTGTCTATATCTACACTTGCACTTCATATATATCACTATATGTATATTCAGATCGATGCTTATCTCTCCCTACACCTTTACTGACACCATACACTCCTGTGGCTACTCACACACCACAGTAAAACGCCGACGTTCGTCTGAGCGCTACGAGGGCGAAAGCAAACGAGTGAGACAAGCGTCTCCGGAGATGACGTTCGTAGTCGCGTCAAACGATGCAGAATCCTCTTCCGATGAGGATAGGCGAAAGACCTCCATTACAATACGGGATGACCCAGACGATAGTAGTCACCGGGATGGATCAAGGTATGCGTGCGGGTGTATGCTGTGGATAGTCATGCCTTATTGTGTGTGTGCTAAGGGTAGATATGGCCTATTCGGCCTGAACGAGGGCACCGAGCTCAAGAAAATCGATCTTTTTTTTTAAACTATTTTCTCGTTCCAGGGGGAGATATTGTTGTAATACGTATGCGTGTGTAGTGTGTTTGTAATTGTGTGTACAGCTGATTGTGATAAGTATGCCCGTGTACTTGATATCACGAATCCCCCGCACAGACACGCATATACGTTCTCGTACTCCTGCTTTCCCATCCCACTGTCTACTTATAGAACACGCTTATATACATCCACACTCAATCTGGTCCATTCGGTATACGCTTGCGCATATATGTTTGCCCACTCATACTTGTCCATGCCTCTATCTATTTACACGCATGCATGCATGTATTCTCACACGTTCCCTTATCTCTTATCTATTTACACACATGTATGTATGCCCCCACTCATACTTGTCCATACCTCTATCTTTTTACACGCATGCATGCATGTACCCTCACACGTTCCCCCGTCTCTATCCAGACCGCGTGAATCCCGCGGCGGTGGTGGCGGTGACAATGATCTGCGCAATCTGCTGCGGAACAGAGGAGCCACCAGAGACCGTGACTACGAGGACAGCCGCGACGACCGAAATGCCAGAGATCCTCGAGACGACCGGTACGCTAGAGATAGCCGAGATGAGTGGGGTGACAGGCATGAGAGAAATGCCAGAGATAGTCGGGAGGGCCTAAATGCCAGAGATGGCTACGACGGCCCCGGGGCGGATCAGGCGTACAATCCGGAGTTCGCCGCGGTGCAGACGCGGCGCCTGTCTGGGGGTCTGGAAAGAAGACAGAATGGGCCCAGTTTCGGCAGGAGGGAGGACAGAGAGTTTGATCGGGGACAGGGCAGGGACGGTCAGCAATGGCACTCGAATGGCGGTGACTTTGGACCCAGCGATTTCGGCGGTAGAGGTGTGTACGCGCCCTTTGGATCGAACAAATGTGTGTGGATCATTGGCATTGTTTCTATGAGTTCTCAGGTGTGTGTTCATCTTATTGGGAACGGCCGTATACGCCAAACCTGCTTATCTGAGCACCTAAGTAGTAGTCGCTGACATAGCCTTTCTAATTGTGCCTGTGTCTGTGTCTGCGTCTGTGTATGTGTGTGTGTGTGTGTGTATCCCTTTACACAGGGTGTACCATACCACTTCTAGATCCATATGTATCGTAAACGGTAAAAATTCAACCCCTGAATCGTTGACCCTATATTGTAGGGTTTTACGAAACCATATGCACCAGGCATATCCTGTATCAAATATTGCTCTCCGGACCATTCTCATGTATATCCTTATCGTAGGGAGACGGCCGAATATGCCTCCTGGAGGCCCCCAACATCCAGTGTTTAGACCCCCTGGCAATAATATGATGGACATGAATGCGAGAGGTGGCGGCAGAGGCGGAAGGGATAGTCGAGCTCCCAGGCCTCAATGGAATGGGCCTAGAGGACAGTTCAACGGACAGCCGCAACAGTTTCCTAATAGGGTGCGTTATATGTCCAGGGTCTGTATATGTATATGTGTATCATGTATATTATTATACTTTTGTGTATGTATATACACTATGTCAATTCGATTTGAAAAGTTCATGATCAGAGTGAATCGAGACCAGATGCCAGTACTCAGCACAATCAGCTGGGGCATTCTTCCATCAGAGTAGGGCTATATGTACGTGCATGTAAGTATCTACACACCGATGGATACGGTTGGCTTGTGCCTGTGCCAGTTAATGTTTATGCACGTAGACGGCAGGCTGTAAATTGTTGCAGGCGTCCTGGTCAGCAAACGGACCTCCCGTGTACAGTGGGGCAGGCCCGGAACACAACTCAGCACACAGCACAACCCCTTCTATTGCAGTTATACGTCCTCTCCGTGTCTGAGCTTAGACATCCGGGATGCAAGATAGCGCTAAGTATTCTGTTGTGCCTATAGATCTGCCCTTGTGTACCAACATGAACGTATATGTGTGAGTACAGGGTTGTCTATGCAGTTCTATCTATAGGCAACGCGTATTTACATCGCAGTACATCCCTCTGACTGTGTATTGTGGATATACTAAACTGACTGCCCTTATCCCGAACTCGGTTTGGGGTAGTCGACGCCATTGTGGGGAATACTCAGACCCAATTCCTGATCTTAAAAATTGGGAGTTCCATTGACATTGCACATCGGCTCAGAGAGATTTACTATACGTATCTTGTTCTATTTATAGAATGACGACAGGCCTTTCGACCTGCGCTACCTAGCCAACACACTGCTAGAGGTGAAGGACATCCCAGCGGAGTTAAATACCACAGATAAGCTCAGCTCATGGTTCGAGAAATTCGGTTCGGTGGTGAAGATCGAGCCCTGTTACCAGGGCAACGAGGGCGTCGCTATAGTAGAGTACAAACTGAATACCGAGGCCAAGGCGGCGTTCCAGTCGGAGCACTCAGTACTGGGCAATCAATTCATAAAAGTGCGTTAGTGTGCGTGTGTTGGGGGGGAGTGTATAACCCAGTCTGTGTTTATACAATCGTCACATGGGCGGATCCAGAATATGTACATCATGAGCTTCCGTGTGGAAGTATGAATGTATCTTGTTCTGTGTGCACATAGACTGGGTGGTGTGTATCAGCATGTATATATGCATATATATATATATATATATATATGTATATATGTATGTGTGTGTATGTACGTATGTATGTATGTATGTATGTATGTATGTATGTATGTATGCATATGTGTATATATGTATATGTGCTGATACAGACCAGCCAGTCGCCTGACTACCTCTACTGATGAGACCTACACACGCCTGACTATACGTATTTCTGACAGGTTAGTGCATAAGTAACCCGGCACCCATCCACTATACCCCTTCCATTCCAGGTGAACTTTGTCCCGTGTAACCTGCAAGAGAAGACACAGCAACAGCTGGTCGCACAGATCGGTGGCCCTGCGGCCTATGAAGAGGCGAAGCACAAATACGTTGAACGGTACAGGCTAACACATGACGGCAGAGATCCTCCGCCCCACTTCCTGAATGGATCAACGCCAAATAGAAGTATGTCAGGTGACCTCACTGCGGTTTAATGTATGTATGGTGATCTTGCTGTGGTTGAATGTATGTCAGGTGACCTCCCTGTGGTTGAATGTATGTATGGTGACCTC